GATCCCGCTAGGAAAAAAGACGCGGTTGGAAGACAAAGGGCAACATGGATAGGGGACAGTGCCAAAAGATCTGGAAAGGACTGTGAATAAGATGGAAGGATCAACGCAGGCCAGAGAAACTTGCGTGTGGAGGGGATCATCGCAAGGTCCAACCCCTAGGCACGGGAAAGATGGACTATAAACGAAGATGATGATGATCGATTGATGAGAATCTTGTTGGAGGATGGAGTGTCGGATGGCAGACGTATTCTTGCGTGCAGATTTGTAGCAGGCAAGAACACCTAAGTGAAGGCTGGATAGCGTTGTACATGCTTGCACCAGTGGGCACAACGATGAATGTGCTCTGGGCGTTGATTCTTGATGACGATGAGGGTTCACATGTTGAATTGTGATGTGATTGATAACTAGTACTTTGATGTGAACTAAAACTAATGTCCATTTTATCCCGCTTGGACCATGGCCATTTTACCCGAGAAGCTCGTCGGGTAAAATGGCCATCAGCGAATACAAATCTTTCGCCGTATAGCATAGTTTAAGAGTCATGTTAAGTAGAGAGTTACATTGATATTTCGTTGCAGTGTGTTTGTAATTACAAAGTTGTTTTTAATTTATAATATTTGTTTTGTCTTTTTCCCTGTTTAATCTAGTGAGAATTTTCTCCATCGTCAAAGTTTAAAGTGGCAATTTTACCCCATCTTTCCCGTGCTACATGGTGTGTAGTAGAAGTGATTGTGTGTGTGTGTGGCGTGCGTGCGTGCGTGCGTGCGTGCGGCGTGCGTGAACGTGCGTGGTGACGTTAGGGTGTGTACATATATATAATATGATAGTGTTCGCAATATGTTCTTCTGCAGCTACGGGGGTCCGGGCGGCGTGCACCCCCGGGAAGATTTTACAATTAGGCTAGTATTTGGTGGCATTCTGGTGAATTTGACAGGCCTGTGACTGGTTTCTGGAAACCGGTGGCAAACCGGCGGTAAATGCCGGCGCCTGACATGCATAGATTCACGAGGAAAGGACCCTTATTCACAGTTCACAGGACAAAATAAAAGCTAAATCACGCTTCACAGCACAGGTGGGTCCATTCACAAATTCAGCAGAACAAAATAAATTGCAATTCACAGGATTCACGAGGTTATAAAAAACGCTCTCTCTCTCGTCTTCTCTCTCTATCCTCTCGCTCTCATTCTCGCTCCTTTCTCCTCTCTCCCCCCTCCCTCTTAGTCTTCACTATCTCTCTCCCTCGTCGTCTCTCTCATTCCTCTCGTCTCTCTCTCTCTCTCTGCTTCTCTCTCTCTCTCTCTCTTCGTCTCTCTCTCTCTCTGCTCGCTCTCAGCATCTCGCTTCTTTTCTCCCTCTCCACCCCCCAGGTCCGCTCTCTATTCAAGCTATCTGCTCTCTGCTATCTGCTCTCCTCTCTCTCTCACTCGTCTCTCTCTCGTCTCTCTCTCTTCATCTCTCCTTGCATCTTTCTTCTTTCTCTTTCTCTCTCTCTTCCCGTCTCGTTCTCCTCTTTCTCTCTCTCTCTCTTCTCTCTCCTCTCTCTCGCTCTTCTCTCTCTCTCTCTCTCTCTCTCTCTCACTCAGCCCTCTTTGTCGGCCTCTATCTGCTTTCTCTGTTTTCTCTCTCGGCCTCGTATTTTTCTCTCTCTCATGCTCTCTCATCTAATCTCATCGTCTCTCGATCTATCTATCTAGCTCGACTCTCGCGCTCTTTTTGTTCTCTCGCTCTCGCTTTTTTTGTTCTCTGCGCTCTCTTCCTCCTCTGCTCTCGTCGCTCCTCTCTCTGTCTTCCTCTCTCCTTACTCTAATCTCTGATCTGCTCTATCTCTCCCACCCTCTCTCCTTACTTCTATTCTTACATCGTTATCGCTATCTCTGTCCCCCTCGTCTCTTACTCTAATCTCTATTCTCGCTATATCTCCGCACTCTCTGCTTACTCCTATATATATCTCTCTCTGTCTATCTACAGGCTCCGATATGTCGGCTGCTAATTATGCGGACGCCGTGAGTTCATCAAGCTCGCAATACACGTCATTAGCTAAAGCTCACACCCACTTTATCATAGTCATCGCTCATATATATATATATATATATATACATATATATATATTTTACACATATACCTGATATATATATACATATATATATATGTATATATATATACACATATACATAATATATATATATAACAGCACACACCTATACACACACAGACATTACACACAGCACACACACAAACACGGCACACACACAGACAACACACACAACACAACACAAAACACACACAGGGGGGGGGTGTATGTGTGTGTTGTGTGCGGTGCCGTGTGTGTGTGTGGTGTGTGTGTGTAGGTGTGTTGTGTGGTGGCGTGGTGCGTGGCGTCGCCTGCGTGTGGCGTGTGGCCGTGGCGGGGCGTTGTGGTGTGCGTGTGCGTTTGTGTGTGTGCCTGTTGTGCGTGTGTGGCGTGTGTGCGTGCGTGTGTGTGTGTGTGTGTGTACGCGTGTGTCTGGGTGTGTGTTTGGGGGGGGGGGTCGAGCTGCACAGCAGCGACGTACATCGCGACGGAAACATTCAATTTACGTCTCATTAAAAGCGGATCGAGGCGGCGATCGCCTGCAGCGACGCGCGCGACGCCTGGTGGCGTCTACCGGAATGTTTACCCCGGCTTGTCTGCTCGTGCGTCTGTCTATTGGATTTTCATGAATGGCTTCCGCTTAGGTTGGCTGCTGCTGTTGATTCTGTTGCGGCTGCTGCTGCTACTGGTGCTACGCATGCGCACACACGCGTGTACGCACGCCCGACTGCCTGTCAGTCCGCCCCACGCGCAAAGACGTGCACGCCCCCACACACCGCTGGTCCATCCTTTCGCCGCAGCTGCAGCAGAATCATGCGTGTACCAACCCATTTCTCTCTCGGTCTGCGTGTGTGCGCGCGTGCGTGCGTGCGGGTGGGCACGCGTGCACGCACCAGCAGTAGCACGCATTGTGTAGACTATTCACCGTTGGCTTCTCATATGGTCTTACTTTTAACGCGCTTCACAACAAATTACCTTTTGTACAACGCACGCACGACAACGGCACGACAATTGCGGTACGAAAATTGCAGTAACTTAATAACCAACTGCACATTACTCTTCGGACTAGACTTCTCCATTTCCTAAACCATTCAACGTAAGCGCAGGAATTTGATCCTAATTAGTGGCGACATCTATGGGAAGGAAAATGAAGCACCTAGCGTACTTACTAGAACCTCGTATGTATCGATCAGTTCATTGCTGTACGTTCACTCTAACTATTTTTCCGCGACGCGCGTTTGCAGAAAACTAAAATGAAAAAGGGAATCGAACCGGGAGATCACGCGATACAGCTCTTCGAACATCCACAAGTTGTTATGAGGTAGGAATCGCAGATGGAGAAGAGGTGAGGAGGGGAGAAAGGCCGGTGAAGAGGAGGGATAGCTAGAGAGGGAGCGAAGAGGTCGGGGAAAGGGATGACGGGTGATGGTGGGAGCGTGGGGAAAAGCAATGCAGGAGTGGAGCCGGGGAGGGGGGTCAGCGGAAGTGTAAAGGAATTAGCTGAGTTGTATGGGGAGGTATAATGAAGGTGTAGGAGAGGTGTAGGGGGTTGGAGGTATAAGGGGAGAGGATGCGAGGAGGAGAGGAGAAAATCAAGGGAGATGTAGGGTAGGTGTAAGAGAGCGTTACGGTATAGGTGTGAAGGGAGGGGTGAGGAGAGAAAGGGGGGAGGGGGTCAGAAGAGATGTAGGAGAGGCGAAAGTGTACAGAGGTAAGGCGGACAGAGGAAGAGGGAATCAGGGGAGATGTAGCCTGTAGGGAAAGAAGATGAGCGGAGGTCAACGACAGGGAGAGGAAAAGAAGATGAGAAAAGGGGTGGAAGGAGAGACGGAAGGAGGGGAAAGTTGATGAGGGTATTAAGGGAGGTATAGGGAGAAGATATTCCAGAATTGGAGGGCAAAGGGAGGTGGAATGGAAGACGACGTATGAAGATATAGGGGAAAAGGAGAAGAACGGCAGGTATGGCGCGCGATTTTCCACGTAACACAGTCACGTGGATCAATCAGCAAGCACAGCACCATTACCATGGAAACGTGCAAAATCCCCTTTTTTTCTACGGCAAGATTCGCTCGAATCGCAGACAGTTTTGGTAAAGCTGACGACAGACGTGCAGGTGTGTGTGACTCGCTGCAATGCGAGGCCCATAACATGCAAACCAACAAATGTGTTAGACTATCTCTCACGTTCCTATTAGTAGACTTCCGAAACAGAGAAGTGAGACTAACCAGAGCCTACTTAGTACGTTATTTACGCGTGCCAGACAAGCAAGAACTAGATAGAACTAATTATAGTATGTTATTTACGCGTGCCAGACAAGCAAGAACTAGATAGAACTAATTATAGTATGTTATTTATGCGTGCCAGACAATCAAGAACTAGATAGAACTAATTATAGTGTTATTTATGCGTGCCAGACAATCAAGAACTAGATAGAACTAATTATAGTATGTTATTTACGCGTGCCAGACAAGCAAGAACTAGATAGAACTAATTATAGTGTTATTTATGCGTGCCAGACAATCAAGAACTAGATAGAACTAATTATAGTATGTTATTTACGCGTGCCAGACAAGCAAGAAATTGCTCCAGACAGCGAAACCTGCACAATTACTGGGGAAAAAACGGATGAAAATCGTAAAGGTTATCGTCTGTATTCTGTTACTGTCCTTTTTGTCCATACATGTTCTTGTGAATTACGATACCGTAAGCCTCCGCATATAACAAAAGACTGAGAATAGTATCAACACGGTTTCACACTAATACAAGCTTGTGATTGACTTACAGGTACGACGTTTACAAGCTGCAAACACCTCTGGGTCTTTTCATGCTGAAGATGCTATTCATATGAAATATGAATGTATATTGACCTCAATTACTTTCACCCCTATTTATATACGATGATCCAAAAGTGACCAACATTGAACGCGTGTTCACAGAAGGACATATAGTAGGTTTATTGTTGAAATCGAAATTACATATATACCATCGATCGCGAGGATTCTGAGTGTAAATAAGATGTCTTTGTATGTGTGCTGGACAAAAGATTGCATCAGCATCCGTAAACGTTCAATTTCCTTGGGACGTGAAAGACGTCGCCGGGAACACATTTCAACACATAATAATAACCTTTCAAACCATAGATTACAAAGTTCACACAATCTCCGCTAACGCTAATGAAAAGCGGACGCTGCAATTTTACATTCGAGGACGTTACGACAAACGAAGAGGATGGCAAACGAAAAGTAACCCATCTGAAGAATCATCAGTGGATTATAAACTTGTGGCCCATTGTCAGAAACAAAATCAGTCTCATAATTAGTCCTAACACTAACATTGAAAGAAACGTAAGGTTAAAAGAATTAGAAATCCTGGCCAATTTCCTCGTAATTTAATGAAACAAAACTCTGTCAACGGTCTACGAGAAAAAGTTAATGTTAAGACTAATGTTAATATGAATTTTGTTTCTGAAAATGGGCCGCTGCACAATAAACCATGATCACTAGTGCAGGATGGCCGTAGATCATGACCCGATCTGGGTAATCTCACAAACCATCGTGAAGTGAGCATCCTAGCATCGCGGCGGCAGACACAACAGAGCTAGAATGCCAAACAAACATGCACACAAAAAGATTCAAGGAGCCGAGATGCGGCTCATGCGATGACGCGCATCCCCGCGAAACATAACCAATTCGACTACGAAAATGTGCGACTCGGAAAAATCCGTGTGAAACAGCCGAAGCCGAAAACTCAGTTGTCAGGGTTACAGCCCGCATCGTTCGCCCATGGTCGCTGCCTGTTTTTCGTTGTCACTGCCTTTAGGAATAAGGAAAGAGAAGATGAGGAAGAAAGGAAGGAGAGAGAGGAAACAAAAAAGGGTTTGTGACGTCGCGTTCGTGCCGCGTGCGGATGTGTCTCTCTCCGGTCGCCGTCTCTCTCACTGGCCGTCCACCGTATCCATGTCGTCCCCGACCTCTCCCTCGACATCGTCCTCTCCCTCTCCCTCCGCATCCTCCTCCTCGCCGTCCTTCTTCTCCGGTTTCTCGTACGCCTTCTCCGACGGCGTCACGACGACGCCTTCCCACACCGACATCTCCGTCGCGATACCTGCGAGAGGGAATCGGGAAGATCGTGAGCGCGCGTCGCCATGACAACGTCACAACGAATCGCATTGCGGAGCGACGCTGGGTCGTCGCTTATACGTTATTGTGCTTATACTTTTTTTTTACTTATTACTTTATTTAAACTTTATTCGCATACACCTATTTTTGTTCACTCCCTTAACGTACTCGGCCGTGTCTTATTTTCTGTTTTACTCGGCGTTCGACGAAAAAAAATACATACACCGAGAATTAGTCAGGCGTGCGTTAGCTGCACACCTCTATAAAACAGACACCTGTCTGTAAAGGACACTTTTGACAATTACCACCAATGACCTTTATACACAGGTTCGACAACATATAGACAAGGAGATCTCGCAGAGGTAAGGAAATAAGGAGGGCAGTAACAATTCTAGGGTTTAGTAGTTTACACGCACTCGAGTTGCCTTCGAAGCCAAGAACCTGCTTGTAACCGCCATGTTCCAGAACGCGCAGGAGTGTCTGGGCCGTGAAGCACACCTGGTCCTGTACACGTGGGAGAAAAACACTAATTAAAATAAACTTAATTCAATTACGTTAATGAAATGAAATTATACGTGGGAATTAATTAGTGACTGAAATTGAAAATGGTCACTTAAAGATACACTCTGCACAGTGGCAAACTCTCGCGTTTTCTTCTAGCAGCACGACAATCCTATCCTCCCCTACTTTCCGGCAGAGCAATTTTTATTTAAAAACAATTCAATGACGATCTCACAAATGCTGTGATTAGTAAAAATCGTCACTAAATGGAGAACGTTAATGCATTATTGTGTGATAAAAACACAGATTGATAGGTGAAGTATATGAAGACAGTACCTGCTCTTCTAGGGTCATGACAGTGTGAACACGCTGGGTCCCGCTCTCGCATGGATCCGTAATGCCCACCGAACCAGGTAGGAAGAATCCAGCCGACAACAGCTGCAAGCACCGCCTGGTGGCAAACATTTAAAATTCATAACTATTCATAAATTCCCATATATCACAAAATATAAATGAATATATTCATAATAAAATTAGGAAATTACCAATGAAGCAGCTACGGAGAGCCAATAAAACTATATAATACAATAATCAATACATATTACACACATTATCTAATATTATAATCAATATATATACTATATAAAAGTAAAGCCCAAATATATACTATTTTTCAATACTACAACTAATCTACACTATATATAATGCTATAAGCTTTAGTTGCAAAATGTCATCACATGTTAAGTGGCTGATGCATCCAAGAAACCGAACAAAATCGGGTCGTAAAGCGATAAAACTCGCACATCCCTCACTAACCTGAAAGCAACATTGATCGGCAGAGGCTGTCTGGCTGGATTGTTCAGTATGGCGTAATGTGCCTGAAATGGAAAAAACATTTACAAGAAATATAATTAAATATAAAATGGAATATAGAGAATAAGACAGGTATTTACGCACATATGCATACTAGTACTGCATCAGTGCCCCACAACAATCGGATATATAACGATTGACTAATAACTGGCATGAAGAATTAATTTAATAAGCATCTTGCCATCAATCAGAATACATCACAGATTCCGACTTCACCCTGCGTCATGACGAGTGAAATGCACAGACAATGCTGATGAAATGTTCGAGCAAAAGTACACATTTCCACGCGTTACCTCTTTACTAACATACACACACACGTAAAAGCAGAAGGGTCTATTCTACATGTAGAATATGTCAGTGCAATATATGTATATATATATATATATATATATCAGGAGTAGATAATAGGGAGGACTGGAGGAGTGTGACATCAATAAACAAGGGAAATTCGTCATTTACTAGCCTTATAATACCTACGATTTACTACGCGCAACTCATCCAACTTGAGCTCAAATCGGACACAGTACATTCGCCCATCATCGTACGAAATCGTTTCCTCGTAGACACCCGCAATCCGGAGATACAGCCTAAAACGTACGACACGATTCTCCATTCTTTGGACATTAATCCAACGCCCATTGCGCGCCTATAATTCAGACAAAAGGCAGCAACACTGGCGCGCAGTCGCTGTGTTTGCTCTCTCGGATAGCTGAATGTGGCGTTGTGGCTCGCGGGGAGATTGGAGATCGACGCAACACTCGACGAGCTAATCATGCGGTTGGCGTGCGTGCGTGAAGGCATGCCAGCTATGTACAAAGGTGGCCTGTGTAGCTGTGTACCGGGTCAAAGGTTATCTCGCCGAGTGTTGATGCCTAATCTCCCAGCGAGCCACATGCCTCGCTGGGTTAGCAATAGCGCGTTAGGTAGCTGCCTTTTGTTTGAATTATAGGCGCGCAATGGCGTTGGATTGATGGCCATAGAATGGAGAATCGTGTCGTACGTTTTAGGCTGTATCTCCGGATTGCGGGTGTCTACGAGAAAACGATTTCGCACGATGATTGGCGAATGTACTGTGTCCGATTTGAGCTCAAGTTGGATGAGTTACGTGTAGTAAATCGTAGGTATTATAAGGCTAGTAAATGACGAATTTCCCTTGTTTATTGATGTCACACTCCTCCCTATTATCTACTCCTGATATATATATATATATATATACATGCACACGTGAAAGCACATATCTATATAAGTGCACAGTAGGTGTTTAGGTAAAGTGTGGCACTATTGCAAACATATGCAACACAGTGAGTGAGAGTCTTACCAGCAGATCGATTATCCACGGGTTGAGAGGCCGGAATCCCTGGAAGCGATTACGCAGGTCACGGGACAGTCTGATTAGAACCTTGATGCTAGAGTGGAACGCATTCTCCTCAAACCAGCGGGTGTGTCGGATTGCCCCCAGGTGGCTCTGCATTACTTTCGCCTCCACTAGGTGAACACACGTGAAAACAACGAGCATTCGCAATGACCAAAAATTCAGATTTTATGAACACGCAGCAGTTTAGCTATGTACCACTGTACGAATCTGAACACCTCTTAAAATTGAAATCCCAGGCAGTATATATTCTAATGTGAAGAAAACAATTATAAGAGGGAGCAATAACAAATCCTTTAACACAGCCATTATTCTATGTTTTGTGTGCAAGAACCAAACATAGAAATGCGTGACGATAGGTAAAGTTCTACTCTATTTACAATCAGTGTAAACAGATTTTCTCACACCACACACACACATATGTTAGGTGTGTAACTTACAGTGGAGTTCTGGGTCCAGTTTCTTAAAATTCGGAGGAATTGTCGTGATGAGTACTTTCACCGTTGCATCAGACGAGGCAATTTCGAATCCGCTTTCATTGATTGCCATATTCAACACTACAACAGCAGGTTTATTACAGTCATTCCATCGTCTCTACACTAATTACGTTATACATTATGTCAAATGCTAAACATGCACGCACGCACGCACAGACACACACACTCGCGCATGCACAGACGTGCGCACGCACGCACGCACGCACGCACAAATGCACATATTGATACGTGCAAGAGGAACAATCAACTGTAGAATCCGATCATACAAGCACGCAGTTTGACTTTGTGTGCCTGCACACACTACGATAATACATACATCATTTACCATTATTATCAACGGTAATATTATCATAATATTTATATTATTATTACTACTATCTTCACACCAAGACGTACGCACCTTCGGCTGCGTCTGACTCCTTCAGGTCGTCGAGCACCTTGGAGGCGAGAGCGTTCACCGCCTCCTTCGTTGGCAGCGTCTTCAGCAGAGCAACAATGTCAGCGACGTTGTGACCGGCCATCATCGTGCCTTTCTTGTGCGAACCAACCTGCCGGATCTCCTCGATTTGCTGCAAAGATTCGAGTTTAGATTAGAGTTTGCTGCAAAGATTCGAGTTTAGGTTATAGTTTGCTGCAAAGATTAGAGTTTATATTAGAGTTTGCTGCAAAGATTAGAGTTTAGATTAGAGTTTGCTGCAAAGATTAGACTTAGAATCGGTGCATGACCTCCCTGGCGTTTGCGTGCGCTAAGGTGGGTCCGCGCGCGCCACAGTGGGTCCCGCGGTGGGTCCGCGTCCGCCACGGTGGGTCCACGCGCACGATGTCGACGCTGCATCAATGATTGCGAAGAGGTGTCTTCCAACGTGCTAGGAAGGACGCATGCTTTGAAGGCACGTTTGAACCGACACGCATTAAAGGCCTGGCAAGAACCCTGCTGAGTATACTAGAATCACGCATAAATGAACGTCGCGAATCTCGAATCTCCGCCGCGGCTACTCACACACGCTTCGAACATCGCCGGAGCGACGATCATGTTGTCCATGACCTGGTTGACCTTGGTGATGAGGGCTAGCACGGACGCCTGCTCCTGCGCAGTTGGCGACAGGTCCTGGTTGCGTTTGAGGAGCGCCTGCGTGAACGCCGTTTCATCCGGCGATGGGCGGCAGCGCGGAAACACATTCTGCGGCTCGCACTGTCACGTGTAAATGCACGCGTGTGAGAAGCGGGAACAGTTACAAACGCTAAAAGATAGTATATCTAGACACAAGTCGACCACTGATTTCGTCTGAGGCATAAATGCGCAGTAAATCTATATATAATAATCTATATAATAATAGTATATATAATAATATAATATATACCAGCTATACTACAGAAAATCCCACATACGAATTCATCAAGTACCATCTTACCAGGACAAGGTCAAAGGGCACATGGGGAACAAAGGCCCGGAAGCCACCCATGCGCATTCCACCGCGCCTCCGGTTACCTGGCTGACCGCTGTAAATAGATAAATGTACATGTCGTTAACAGCATAGCGATCAAACCATACAGGGAATTCTCGCAAAAAAAAAAGAGAATGTTTCAGGTCAAGAGTAAACAGCAGTTGATGTTACACCGTACAGTGTTTCCCCAGGTACATGATAAGCGCGGCGGGCTACCCTGCTATATCCGCCTCGCTTAATATACGCCGAAATTGTTGCTACACTGCAAATTTTCTAGTCACCCTTCCCAAATCGTTATCCGGCTTGCACTTCCTTATCGTGACTTTAAGTCATATACTAATATAACGTAATTAATATAAGAAACAATAATCTTTTCTTCTTGTTATTTATGCACAGGGCGGCGTGCGTCCGGTGTACTTGTGTGTTGCAGATGAGCATTTGACCGGCATTTACTGGTAATTATCAGCAATAATAGACGAAATAGAGTAGAGAAACATTAAGACTTTGGTAGTAAATACATTTCGTGTTTATTTACCATTATTTTTTTTATTGAGACATTCCAAGTGCCTGTGATTGAGTGTGAACAGTATCATTATAAATGAATAATTTATGTCTGATGACTAAGTCGCTCAACCCATTCGTAATTCCGGGTAAGACTAATCCCTGGGCACTCTGTGAGACTCGCAGCTAGGGCCTGCATACCTCCCAACGTTATACTTGGTCGGGTTTTTAACACATTCTAACTCTAAAACTGTTACGTTACAAATTCTTAAAATATTTACATAAACAGGCACGACGGTTGTCATTTTGAATACGAAGTTTTATTTCCCATCGTAGTTTATTTCAAAAGTTATATCAGCCGAAAGTTGCTACCTTGACTCGATTGCAACACTGGCTGGTCAAATATAGACAATATGCCGCGAGCAAATTTGTAACGTAACAGTTTTAGAGTTAGAATGTGTTAAAAACCCGACCGAGTATAACTTTGGGAGGTATGCAGGCCCTAGCTGCGAGTCTCTGTGAGGGTGAGCCCACAGTGTAGAGGTGGTCGGGTAGGGTAGGGTCGGGTAGGGTAGGCCTAACCATAGACCGAATAATTCTGTCCCATAGCACCCTGAATGCTCGCGTGGTACCTAGATGGAATAATTCTGTCCCATATAACCTTTTTTATATTTTGGTGAGGGTTATATTGGGACAGAACGGGGTTCATTGAAATTTCGTGAGATCGCATGCAAAATGCATGCGCTGCGAATGCGGCCCGTACGCCGCTATTGCCTGGCGCGAAAAAAACCTACCGTACCCTTCTAGTACTACATGGCTTTACCTTGCTACTGTCCTGATATGTGTATACATTCACTTCAATCGTTATTCACTTCTTAAAAGATTGTTTTTCAGAAACCCGCTTCATTCCACTTTCGTAAATCACATTCGCCATTTTCAAACAATCAGACCAATCACAGCGACGTCTATCACGCCTCCTGCAAGCGCCACAGATACAAGCGAGAACAGGGGCTCATGTAAGACTCGCTCTGGATTCGTCTGATTTGTTTGTAATGGCGATGTAATTTAGGAAAGTTGAACGAAGCGGTGTTTATGAAACATCTTATTAAGAAGTGAATATCGATTGAAGTGAATGTATACACATATGCAGTTAGCAAGGTAAAGCCATGTAGAAGGGAACGGTAGGTTTTTTTTTCGCGCCAATAGCGTCGTACGGCGCATTCTCAGCGCATGCATTTTGCATGCGATCTCACGAAATTTCAATGAACCCCGTTCTGTCCCAATATACCCTCACCAAAAATTATAAAAAAGGTTATATGGGACAGAATTATTAGGTCTAGCCTAACCCTAACCCTAACCTTAACCCTAATCCTAAACCTAACCCTAACCATACCCTACCCGACCACCCTAATTTGTGCGGTTCCCTCACAGAGTGCCCGGGATTAGTCTTTTCCATTCGTAATCGTAGGCCCTAGTTTGGGACCCCGATTAATCAGGAGTATATCAATATTGATAGACTCCTGATAGTATTGTTGAAACAACCAATCGCCTATGCGTCTATTATTAGTATTAATTTACTACTTACCGCATAACCATTTTGTTTAGAATTTGTTTATACAGACACAGCTACACGAGGAATAAACAGATCAAACAAAAACAAAGCATGTGAACCGAAAATTGTGACAGGCGTACCAAGCGCCACTACATGTGTTCACTTGTCTCTTTAAAGGTGTTAATGTGTGGACCAATAATCCTATAAACAAATATAAAATTTTTATATTATCAACAGATGGCGCTAGTTGACAACATGGTGATTGATGACACAGAGGGCTATTTCATTTCGCTGCAGCTAGTTGTTGTTTGATAACAATAATACATTACATACATACATGCATTTTATCTAAATCCGTTTGTATAAGTAAAGTTGTTAATCCTAGTCTCCGTTAGAGGTTCAAAAAGCACATTGATAACATTTCCATCTGAAAAACACCAATGTAAAGGTTGCTGTGAATCTGACATTCACAGACTAGCACCAACTCCAGGTTCAAGGTAACAGACTAGACGTAGCATAACAGAAGTAGGCCTAGATGTCTACTGTCTAGGCTTGTACTTGCAGTGGGGCAAGGGGCAGTCTTTGCCATGCTTAAAAATGCACCGTTAATGAATGCCACCCTTTACAAGATGAAAGGGCTCACTACAGTGAAAAAATTAATTTTTTTCTTTCCGGGGCTCTTTTTGCAAACCCCCCCAAAATTTCGGGCTACTTTTTCAATTTTCCAGGGCTCTTTTTCCACTTTCCAGGGCGACTTTTTTCCAGGGCTGTTTCCTCAAATGTACACACAACACAGTAGCTAATACACACTCGTGGGGGCGCGCACACACCACACACACGTCACACGCAGGCACACACGCACGCACGCACGCACGCACGCACACACACACACACACACACACACACACACACACACACACACAGACACAACAGTCAATATTCAAGACAGTTATTCATCAGACTGACAGACTAACATGATAATCACAACTCACAAGTCACAACCACAAATGCACTTGAATAGTGAATACATCACAGGTTCAAGCTAAACACAGAACTATTACGGCTAGCCCAAATAGTGGAATGTCGCCTGTACAGCTAGGAGGATCGATTGTTTATATGCGATAGTCTCTTGCGGCTGGGGTCAAGGCCCGCGTAAGGGCCCTGGAAGTCAGGGGGTTTGAGAAGCGGCCCGCGAGCACGTGTGTTATGGCTGTGCACATCGACGCTGCGTACGTGCCTGCTGCAGCCATGTAAACCCATTCCAATATAAGAACACGCGCGCATTGATTGAAGTATGTGGGGGGCCGATTGTTTCAGGTGGTACTAATCACTACTAAATTTAGAGGGTTGGCAATTGCCGGACTATGAGAGAGCGGCAGCAAAACTCTTTCGGGAATTGACAAAAAAAGCTACAATCGGAATGACACACGAGTGTGCGGCAGGGAAAAAATATACGTGTGAATTTCATTAGGATTTCATGGATTACCGTTCTATAATCCTACGGGTCGTTGGTCCTACGGGTCTACTAGGCACGCCCGCCACACACGCACGCACGCATGCAGGCACGCACGCACGCAACGCACGCACGCAAGCACGCCAGCAGGCACACCGGCACACACAGGCACACCCGCACGCACGCACGCAGCGCAGGCACACACCAAGCACGCCTGCAGGCACACCGGCACGCACGCACGCGCGCAGGCACACACGCAAGCACGCGCACAGGCACACACGATATATATACGCGCGGGCGCGGCGCGCGCTTGATTGAATGCAATACACACATGCATGCTTAATGATAAACACTGACAGCCACACCGTACTAGGAATTCTACCGCCGCCGTGTAACCGGCTGCCGCTAGCGCAGAGCCGAGCGAGATCGGCAAGCGCGCGGGACCGACCTGGACAATCGATTTCCAGGCGGACTTTTGCTTTTGGGTCGCCCTCGATATCGTATTTTCGAGGGCTCTTTTGGCATTTCGGGGGCGAAATCGCCCGCCGCCCCCGTGTATTTTTTCCCCTGGCTCACTACGTATAGTATACACCATCCCAACCACAGGCACAGGCACTTGGAACGTCTCAATAAAAAAAAAATTAATGGTAAATAAACACGAAATGTACCAAAGTCTTAATGTTTCTCTAATGTTTCTCTACTCTATTTCGCCTATAATCACCTGTAAATGCCAGTCGACTGCTCATCTGCAACACGCAAGTACACTGCACGCCCGCGCTGTGCACAAACAACATGATCTCTCATTATTTCCGCCCCGATTAAAAAAAAAAGTTATTTTTATTTTTTTAATGGGAATGGCTACATGAGGAACAGGCTGAGTGAGTCCGCTTTGGAGGTGCTGCTGCTACTGGCAATTGAAGGGCCATCTCGGCAAGAATTCCCATTCGACCCACTGGTAGCAAGAACAAGTCCGCACCTGCAGCTACAGCACACACGCATCTATTGACTATATATAACAACGTTATATATAGTTGTTATAGTAGTTATAGTTGTTATAGTAGCTATAGTTGTTTTAGTAGTTATATATAACTATATATAATGTTGTTATATTAGTCAATAGATGCGTGTGTGTTGTAGGTGCAGGTGGCGGACTTGTTCTTGCTGCCAGTGATTTGACCAGGCCCCCGGACCACCCTAGTTTCCCCCCTCCCCTCCCCTCCCCCCCCCTCTCCCCTGTTTCAATTTCATCCTGGGGAGAACCCTGAATACATATAGCAAATTGTTTCAATCAAATGTTTCCATCAGTGACCGGGAAGTCCGCCATGTTTGTTTATTGCGACCGTTTCGATGGGCAAGATGCGCAGATGACTACTGCGCATGCGCTGTGTGCGCCCTTGCAAAACAAGAGGCGCCTGCGCGCATGCGCACTTAGGAGCGTCCAGTTTTGGGCGAGCGTCCAAATACTACGGTACAGGCCTACAGTTGGCATGTTTGTGTCCCTACCCCCAAATACACGTGCTTTTTCGGTTCGTTAACTATTATTTATGTGAAATTCCATACATTATTTCGTTATTCCTTGATAACATGTCAATATAAATGTTAGAATAATAGCTAATTGAATAATACTGAAAGCTGAAATCATGTTCTTATACAGTTGTCCACAACTACTGCACAGTTCTGTTCCAATATTTGAATTCAATCTATGAGTGCAAAATTTTATTTGCAGACATTACTGAAGTTGGAGATATAACCCGCCTGTGGATTGACAATTCCATTAGTTGCGTGTGTTGCTTTGTGCACAAACTTTATTGATGGAGATGTCCTCTACACGTGGTCAGAAACCAAAGTTTCATGATGGTGAAAAGGTGCTTTGCTTTGAGCCAGATCCCACCAAAGCTAAAGTGCTTTATGATTCCAAGGTAAATATATGTTGGCAGTTGGGTTTGCATGCTTAACCCTATCAGTGTACTAGAGAGCTTGTGGCATTTTATTGCTATGGAATTTGACAAGTATTTATTTATTGCTAGAAAGGAATTTAAAAAATCGTGAATATTAGGTATTATAATTATTGGTTTTACCTTTATTTTTTCAATTAACATAAAAATACTTTCACAGCATGGTGTTTTATAACTCATGAGTATGAACTAAATTGTTGTAGACACCATGCCTTGAAAAATAGTACTGCATTGAATGATGCCATAAATTATTTCCATATATTAAGATAGCAGAGTGTAGAACAGGTATCAGTAGTCTAGACCCGCCACACTCTAGTGGCATAAATGTTTAATTACAGTACTGCCACGTGCAAATATCTTGAGCTATGCTAGATACACATTTAATATAAAGGCAATAAGAGTTATGTAAAGGCCATGGAAACTAAAAATAATTTACCATACAATCCGAGTTAGTAGGGCATGTGTGTGCGTTTGTGCGTGCGTAGTTGTGTGTGCTGATGACTATAGAATATGATAGCATGCCAGTAGCATTGTCATGCTTTAACCAGCCTTATTTGGCTCTATGTAAATAACAAAAAGTCTGTACTTTCCTGGTTTTTTCAGATTCTCGAAATCATAGAAACAAAAGACAGCCGTGGTCGCAAGGTGGTTGAGTACCTTGTACATTTCCAGGGTTGGAACAATAGGTGTGATTATATATTATGCACATTACCCAAAACGTAATATCATATAAAAACACATTTGCATTATTATTTAATAGCCATTGCATTTTAAGCAATAGAGAAATAATTTCTGTTATGTATATGAGTGTAATATTTTGAACCTTGGTGTTGCATACAATTCTGGTCCTATATTTTTCATTATCATGAGTGCAACACAAAGTATATACAATAAATGGATATTTTCTATAATGCACTTTGTTATAGTTATCCACTTTTGATCTAAAAATATTACACACGCACTCGCTTTATTTCCAGCTGGGATCGATGCGTACCAGAAGAGTATGTAGTAAAAGAAACGGAAGAGAACCGAGACTTGCAAAAGGAATTAGCCGAGAAAACGGCTGAAATACTGTACGTTAGATTTGAGTATATATAATTAGTATTGCGATCTATCCAAATTTAGATTTAGCCTGGTATGTGAGCATCCATCATTGCTATTTTACCTAGTCCTATTACTATCCTGTATCTGTATTAAATACCTTATGTTACTTACACTCCCATAATACATCTACTTTACTTACCTGACGTACTACTATCTATTTTACCTATTATATCCACAACGACGTAGTCAACTGATTACCTGCATATGTTATACTGTTATAACTGTCTTGAAATGTTATAACCTTGCCGAACATCCTTTACTGGGCATTTACCTTATAAGTATCAACAAGAGCGTATTAAGTATGTACATACTTACATAAGTACATACATACATACATAAGTACATACTTAATACGCTCTTGGTATCAAGTGTAAAGAGACTGGACCGAACAAGGGAACGAAAATTGAGAGTTTGGTTTGAGTAGACAGCTGATAAGTGGTGTGATAACCGTGATAATGTGATTTCCAGGAAGAAGACGCAGCGGAGAAGGAAGACCATACAGGAGAAGGTGGATGAGACGCTGAAGAAGATCAGGAATGAGGACGGGGATTCACGCAGCAGCTTCTCCGATGAAAGCTCGTCCGAGAGTGACTCTGACGATGACACCGATCACGTAGGTTCAAGTCCGCTTAGCTTCAGTGCTGGATTAAAATTGTTGTACCTGTAATGATCATATCTGGTGTGTATAATATAGAGATGATAGATTAGATAATAGATAATATATATTATAGATGGTAGATTATATATTATAGATAAGATATTATATAAATAGATAATCGATTATATATTAGATAATCGATTATATATTAGATAATAGATTAGATAGATTAGATAATATAGAGATGAGTAGATAGAGTGTGTAATATAGAGTGTATAATCTCTATATTACACACTCATGATCATATGATATTGTATAAGATATGGTTATGTACGTGAATCTAGTGTCCTGCTATTTCCTTTAGAGAGGATTTCTCGTGTATTTCAAATCGTTTACACATTTTATTACATATGATATTGATATTTTGATACATTGATATTCTATATACATATGATATTGTATAAGATATGGTTATGTATTTGAATCTAGTGTCCTCTGATGTCCTTCAGAGAGAGGATTTCTCATGTATTTCAAATCGTTTACATAGTTTCTTGACTGTTTTCATACTTGCCAGCACTGGCCTTGCGTAACACCAAGCAGTCATAGTAAGACTAACATGTCGTAAAATACTCGCACATCATTGTTTTCACCAATATGTGCACCGATCTGCATTTCAAATAAGATTTGCTTACATGTGTCAACAAAACTAGCTTTTTGATTTTTGCTCTTACGAGATGCCATTGACTGGCACCTGGCCTTTACACTATGTTACATTTGTCTACATATCCAGATAGGTACCAGTTTATAAAAGCTTGTGATAACTATGTGCACTTGTTTTGTGGGAGCGGTTGAAAATTCCATTCTCGTGAATCTCAAGAAAGCAGGTGCAAGTTTGCTGATCATTTACCGTTTTATAGCCTATAACAGCACAAAATCGTAATGATTTTTATGCGGAAGTAATCAGTAATAATATCAGTGGTTAATAATAACATTTTTTTCATTATTAACGCCTAGTAATATGTATGCTGACAAGTGAGACTAAATTTATCCACATTGATTATTTTTTATGATTTTCTTTGATTTATTTGTGAAATGATCAATTTCATTGCAGGTACTTGTTGATGAGGCAGGGCCGTTAGATGTCCATTTGCCAAAGGAGCTGAAACAAGTTATGGAAGAGGACTATATCAGAATCACAAGAGATAATAAGGTGACATGAACCAGTGATTGTTTAAGACTCGCTGCCACAGTGATTTAGCCATGCAGCAGAGATGCCAACCACTACAATTTCTATTCCTTTTGAACCACTACGACCAGTTTGTATCAAACTATGAATTTCACTGTGATCGAACTTCTTTTTTTTTCAATTTATTGTCATTTTTTACCCTCAGAATGCAGGAAATTGCATCTCAGAATCAAAATTTTTTTCCGGGAGGCATGCCAGACCCCCCTAGCAAACTCGGGTCACTACGTGACCCTCAAACTACTAATTTGATGGCCAGACACTACAGATTGCTTCAAATATGGGTTGGCATCTCTGATGCAGGGTTGGAAACCTTGGTTCAATCACAGAGTTGTATGTCCATGTATGCATTGAATGCATTCGATCGGATCATAGAGTTATATTCTTGGTAATCATAGCTCCTATAAGCTCATAAGAATAATCATAACATTTGACCTCCTTATCATAATGAGAGCACTGGTCTGATTTTTCCTACTGACCTACATGAAAATCAGTGTGAGTTGTCCTGTTCCATGGATGCCGAACTGACTGTATGGCTCGTGCACTTTTCAGCAGTTAAAGCTACCATGTGGGCCGAACATCATTGAGATTTTAGAATGTTATGCGAAGAATTTCGGAATGAATCTCGTTTGCTCCCCTGACAGAAAGTCAAAGGCTGCCTTGACAGATGTCCCACCTGTGGAGAAAAGGTAAGACATCTCAGGGGGGGGGGGCGTATTATAGGGTCTTAGCTGGAATAGATTCCACTTTACTGATATAATCGGATGAAGTAGAGTAATGCATTAAAATATTGATTTAATAAAGATATATAATCAAAGCAATCATTGACAATGTTCTTACGTTACGATGGCAATAGTTGACTGTCTTGAAGAGATGTTTTTAATTGTGTTTTATTCTTAGATTAGTATATTGCTCTAATACCACTCAATGAATAGCAGTTAAGATCGTTTCTAGTGTCTATCTAAAATTTTAGGATTGGTTGGTTGAGCTGTCATTCTTGTGTCAATAAGAACCAGGCTTCCAAATTGTGGTGTCGGGTGACATTAGTAGCACTGTGGCTTATATACGTAAACATTCAGTATAAATTCATTTGATTCATCCTATGCAATATCGGTCATATGCTTATCAATCGTGCACGTTTGTCTTTGCAGTTTGAAAATATGCCGTGAAATCGTAGATGGGCTTCGGATCTACTTTGATTTCATGCTACCTCTGATTTTGCTCTACAAGTTGGAGAGACCACAGTATGAGATGATGAGTGAAACTCTGACAACACAGCTACATGTAAAGTTAGAGCCTCAGTGGTAAGCTCGTGATGTTAGGCTCATGCGGTGCACGATGCTTGATCCGGAAAATGAGTGAATGTGTAAATGAAGCTGCATTGAACTGGAAAACATTTAATGCTGTGAGCAAGTCTGGTATTATCCTGGTGTCTTATATATTTCTATAAATGTAAGTTGTCAGCCAGTACAGCACATCTGTGCCTCATTTGCCTAAATGAATGGAGTATTAAGTAATTGCTGTATGGCAGTGCATGCATACAATATCCAGCATGAAGCCACTTGACATTTGAAGGAGACCAAAAACCCCAGTAATCTGCTTAGCAATAATCCGTTTAACATTTCCGCTTCCCAAACAGTTTTCCAGGTATAACTGCTGATTTTGCCCGTGCTAAGCCCGCACCACGGTTGCGCTCTGGTGGCAGGTTCCTCCCAAACGCCCCCTCGCGGGCAAAAACGGCACCGATGAAGCGACGTGGGCGGGGAAGGCCGCGCAAAGACGTCAAGGAGGAGCCGGAGAAGGTGGCATCGCTGTCGCCATTGCCCGTTGTCAAGGAGGAGACGCAGGATACGGACTCGGAGTTAGAGCATCCAATCAGCAGCCGGCTGCGACATCACTCAGCAACGGATAGAAAGCTGGTGAGTGAGTGGTAAGGGACACACCATGCGAATTTATTAGAGTTTTGCCGTGAATTTTATCCGCACCGAAATTCGCACCTATCAAACATGTTTGATATTTTCGCTGCAAATTTTTATCGCTGCGTACAGATTCGCATTGTGTGTCAGTGGAAGCGAAAATCGAGCCGGCCGATGTTATAATGCAGCGAATCATTGATCAGTATGATAATCACATGATTGAGAAATGGCGGCAATCCAGCGATCACATGACTGTTGGAGCCATGGTTGGAGCCGTGTGGTGACAGTAAATCGCGTGTAGTGTGTCCGTTCAATTAATCGCATGCGGGTGAGAATATTTTCGACTGCGAATTTTGCTGCGGATCTGATCGTAGCGAAATTCGCATAGTGTGTCCCCCACTTTAGAGTCACGCTCATCAAGCGATTAATCTGATTTTCTATTTATCTGGGGAGGAGTACCTGACTCTGAAAACAAGAACTCACTACTCGTGTCCACCAGTCACCGTCACACGATGCATAGATGTGTGACGGTGCTGTTGGAAAACTCACTGAATTTATGCAGAGTCTTGCGTTCCTGCACAAAGTATTATGGTACTCTGGGAGGAGAACACGACTCATACATGTGCGTGAAGACTTCTGGCATCGCTGCTGAGTTTTGTGGATTGAATACTGCGACGTGATGATTTGTTGATTCTTCCCACTTATTTCGTTGACAGCCGTCACTACATGTGGCAGATAAACCATCCTCGCCTCCCTCCTGTGCCAGCAGTCACTCCAGCCCAGACAGCAAGAGACAAATGCGATCAGTCGCTGTTGCTCCCCCACAGAGGGCAGCACCACTAACAGACAAGGTGGCGTCTGCCGTCATAGCAGCTCCTTCGCCAGCAACAGCGACAATGACCAAGCCCGTGTCACGTACATATACTTTAATTAATTGTTTATACTACATATATTCTATAAGGGGCAGGTGATATAAAGAGATACACATGATTTAGTGCATTTGTTGTGATGGTTGATTGTTAAACTTATCCTTTGCATGAATTACCATTTGAAGGTGTTTTATAATCATTGAAAACGCATTTTAGCATATATATATATATATAGTTATATAAATAGTTATATAATAGTTCTTACCGTTGCTTATGCTGGAGCTGAATCAATGAATCCGGGTGGGTAGAGGGGAGCGATGTCAATTGAGAGACGGCCGCTTCTGATATAAATCACTCTTTAGTTTCCATTGCTGTTAAATTATAGTTAGTGCTAAAGTTTGGCTTCTAGAATGTAGGTCAAGCAGCAACACAGCAGGTGTTCATTGCACCCGCTTTGTGTTGGCACTTTCTAGCAGTGCGTGGTACACGCAGGGATGTGTTGTAACAGCTCCAGCTTCGCTGGCTGTAACGCCAAGTTTTTTGAGTTAACAAAGTTGTATTAAACATATTTTTTAGTCCGTGGCTACGCGTCCGGTTACCGGACGCCCAGCTCCCAGGCTACTCGTCCGGTCATATATTTCTTACGTGAACCCAACTATATTTTTCTAGTAAAAAACAATAAACAATAAGTTTTTACCATAATATTACTTACCTTTAGGTATTTTATCAAAAAAATGTGTTTTTGTAACTTTTGAAGCAATAGTAAATCCAGTAAAATCAACGATTTGAAAGGGGGCGTGGCCTAATTGTGACGTGGATTTGGGAATCTGTGCTGAGCTTTGGAACGGATGACCGGACGCGTAGCCACTGCGTTCTTTTTATCAGTTATCGTTCTTCCGACAAGACATAACAGCTTCCTCTCGTTACCTCACAGCGTTCAGTAGCTCTAGCTACGCTAGCAGCACCTGCTCCGACTACACCCTGCCACACGACGGCCAATCGAACGGACATGTGAGTCACCATCCTCGCAAAGGCGACGTGCTCAGCGACGTGCTCTCATGGAAGCTGCTGCCGGAGGACGTGGCGAACAGCAAGCCGACGATGCCGTCGTTGTTGTACGGGGCGCACCACCTGCTGCGACTGTTCGGTAAGCCTGCACTCAGTGTATCCGTGTTAGTGCAATAACAACCGCGCTGCCCCTTGGATATCGTTGCATGGTCGCTCAAGCTAGGCCAAGCTAAATGCGTTTTTCATTCATGAACACCACCTTGCGGTACTGTCATTACTAAACGGCATCTTTAGAACGTCGCAATGCTGCCTGACTAAAGCTACTCGTTGATCAAACCAGGAAGATAGGTCAGCTTCACACAGCTTTACTTCTACTGTCAATGTTTTAGTAAAATGGCATTTGCATGCCGTGTATTATTGTTTGTGGTTATTTATTTATCTAATGTTATCTGTATCTAACGTTGCAGTGAAGCTGCCAGAACTCCTTGGAAAAATCCGAATGTCTCAGAAGAAACGAGAGGCGATATGTACCCATTTAGAAATGTTCCTCAAGTATGTGTTATTGAAATATCGTTGTTATTTGAAATGTTCGTTTGTGCCACAGGAATAGAATCTGTTTAGCAGCATTTGTCTGCACTTGCTATGCTGAACCTGTGAGTGGGTTGGCTCTGTTACGCAGGGTGCGAAATTAACGGAGAGTCCGGAGTCAAATACTCCCTGATTTACTGCCGGACTCCTTGGTCTGACATATGCAGGAGTCCGTGTGACTCCCTGAAAATTTTGCCATATTAACTAGTTCGTTCCAGAGCACGGCCTTGCGTAATTACCGTATTTTTTTAGGAAATGTCCAAAGAAAATTTGGCAGACGTGCAACCGCATGAATCTTCAAAATAAGCACATGCATTATTGTTAATATCTTTAATTTGGAACGTCAGACTGCGGACTCCCTCATTTTGCCGCGTACTCCTTCTTTTTAAGGGCAGGGAGTCCGTTGGACTCACTTGTTCAAAAGTTCATTTCTACCCCTGATTACGTATTATGGAATTATCTTATTTTACAGTTACTTGGTGGATAAACAAGCTGAACTCTTCTCAGAATCGGCATATGAGGATGCCTATGTTCAGTAGATGTTTACATCTCCGCATACGACGATGTGGTTGGTTTCTATACATGGCTCCGTTCAGCTATGGAGCGCCGGCAAGTTTATGGAATAGTGACACTGACCAAGAAAAAAGCCATCTTATTCCAGCCAATCATCATGCTTACCAAGACCATAAATGACTGACTGCCTGATTGATTGATTGATTGATTGATTGATTGATTGATTGATTGGTTGGTTGGTTGGTTGATTGATGTCTACTACCCTTTACACGTTTTGACTTTTCCATTCTTCAGTCTGTGACACATTCAGAATTTTATTTCAGTAGGTACGATAAAATTAGACTTTGACATTGTTTTCTCAGATGATAGAAAATCACATGCACTGGTAATATATAGATACGAAGGCACTCTTGGCTTCTTGGAAATAAGTTGGCTGCGTCCGTGCTTGCCGTGGTTTAGTATTGGTATTGTTACGCTTGGCTGTATCATGATATGATTATATTTAATAGACTAGTGAATAGAGAACATGATAATGCATAGGAGAATCTTGTATACCTATGGTCTGTAAAGATAAATAAAAAAAATTATGAGATAGTATTTGTCATCGAGCTCAGTGTTACATAAATCTGGATAAACCATGTACTCTTATGATGTGGTACTTCGTGGCAGACCGTGTACAGCAAAGACTTTTGTAATAATGGGTTGTCCGATTTGCTTTTGTGAGGTGAACCGCGTATATTTGTGGACTAAAACGTCAAAAGCAAAAATGTGTGTCCACGATTTATACAGCATTTAGAATGTGCCCTGTAAATTCCATGGCGGCGAAGTTACTTATCGTTGTATGCCGGTGTATTGTGGAACAGGAGTTATAGAAACAGGGGTAAAAACACGAAATTAACAAAAAACGATCAATTTAGATCAGGTGCCCATGTATTTTCTGAGAGTTGAAATTTAGGGAATGCTCAATATTATCAATATTACATCACTCGCACATAGCAGTATTGAAATAGTGCTATATAATTGTAGTTGCGATGTCCGATCCGAATGTTTATTGTTTGACATTCAGTCTCAGTGTCGGTAGCCACTGCTGTCGGTAAGATCACAATTGCACTTCCACGTGAAGTTACACACAGCCACACAGACCATGCGGTGAAACTTTCTCTGTCGGTCTCCATTGTCTTTGATGTCGTTTCTGGCACTAGGTGATAGACACTGACAATAGTTTGCCATGAAATCGCACGCGCCGGTGCATGCGCGCTCCATATCTTTCGGTTTCATCTTCGGTAAGCGTGAGATGTCTTGTACCCTAGTAGCCTGAGTGACTGCGACCAGAGCCATTGTCACCGCCTGCGTATCAATAGAGAAATACTAATCAACGCACTCATTTTCATGAGAGACTGAATTCGGCCCGCCCGTCCGAGCGAGATATCTATGCCCCCTAGACACCGTTGCTAGGTCGGTTAAGTTAGCAGAGTTTATGTTTCTTTTAGCACATGCAACAAAACTGCCGTATTCGCGACACTTTGTTGCCAAGCATTGCTTTTAGAATGCCCAATCACAATACTGATTGGTTAAAGCCGTCCGTCAGTCGCGTTTGGCGGATATTTCAGTTGCGTGCGTTGCTATACGAGAGACCAGGAGAGTGGGTAGGTCTCTGATTCTCAGCATTCGCACGCGCAACGCATGTGGAAGAATTAATCGGTGGAAGAGGCCAGCGCGCCATGGAAAGACACGAAATCAGTGACCCATTTCAAAAAGCGTACTCGACGCTGAGAGAGTAGAGACAATCGTTTATATTATAAGTTTATAATATTATATTAGTTGTGTGGCGAATAAGGGGACAATGAACGCCGTTTGTAAATTTCGAAATTGGTTTTATTGGCGCCAAAATGATGCTAATTACGTGCTTTGTCTACATTCACAATTGCTAGATATTTTGGATAGAATCTGTCACAGGAAATGTTTACGATGACTGCGCATCGATACATTTAATGTCGACACCACTGCTCGAACTATAGATGAATGATTGAATAATTTCATCGGATCTCTATAGTTCACATGCAAATAAAGTTTATTCCAGTTAGATCCAAAATAATTTTCGTCCATCTGCTTGGAAACATGAAGTCTATTGGAGAGATGGGCGAAAATTTCAGTCAGTGTAAGTATTTATAACTTATTTTGGATCTAACTGAGATAAACTTTATTTTTATAGATGAATGATGCATTCCTACCAGTATCCAGCAGAGTATCTCGGCGTAGTTCAGCTTATTGAGTGAAGTGTTCGTTTTCCGCATTGCTAATATCTCTCTGGTGGAAGTTTGACGAAACCTGTGAGGCAGTATTATGTACATATAAGATATACAACACATCCGTAGCTAGCAATGAGGAGGAGGCAGTAGCTACAGGCACTTGGGACAGTCAGTGAAAAACTGAAAATAATATGAACGCACATTCACAAATACTACCCCTCCATTACACAGGCACTTCGACCGTTTTAATAATAAAATTATGGTTAATAAATACAACTTGTCAGTACTAGACCTACCAGTACCAGTACCAGTAATAGTCTTAATTTTGATTTGACCTAATAACTTCACTTCAACACCGTCCAATACACCGCTGCAACACATAGCGCGCACGCCATTGTGCATGCACAAATACACAGTGATATGCGCGAAACAGTCGCCGCCATGCTATTTACTATAATACTACTATTATAAACAACTCCTACTAATTAGCCTACCTGTTAATTTCACTAGATTCCGTAGCTATGTCGTTGATACGGCTAAGTTTACTAAATGTACGCGCGCGCGCACACACACACACACACACACACACACACACACACACACATAGACACGCATACACGTACCAATGTCATTGACGTTGTAACCTCCACGAGAAAGACGACTGTTGTGAAGAAAGTGATTAGAGTTTTGTGCGTGGCTGAAGCGACATTAACTTAATCGTTGTTACGGCGGACATCTCGTCTCGCACAGACTATGGACAATTAACATCAAAATTCTAAACAGAAGTGATCAATTAAATTAACTTTTCTGTTTAGAACTGGTTCCTCGCCGTGGGTATTCTAGTCAGTGGCCAAAGAGAGGGTAAGTCGACTGACTTAATGTGCTTTTAATGCGCGCGCGCGCGTGTGTGTGTGTGTGTGCGTGTGTGTGTGTGTGGTGTGTGTGTGTGTGTGTGTGTGTGTGTGTGTGTGTGTGTGGCTGTGTGTGTGTGTGTGTGTGTGTGTGTGTGTGTGTGTGTGTCGTGTGTGTGTGTGTGTGTGTGTGCATGGTGTACGCACGCACGCCCACAAGCCCGCATACATGCACGTATGCAATCATGAAATCACACATTTGTGCGCGCGCACACGTGCATGCGTGCGTGCGTACATACGTGCATGCGTGCGTGCGTACATAAGTGCATGCGTGCGTGCGTGCATACGTGCGTGCGTGCGTACATACGTGCGTGCGTGCGTGCGTGCGTGCATTCATCTGTACATTTATGGCGGCAATATCTCTGCATGTTGCAGTATATAGATTCCAGATCCTAAATCCATTCTTATTTGGATCCTGCCATCCCGCCTTCTCCATTCACTAAGAAAAATGTATAGTTACAATGTAGATATATGTAATTGCCAGGTGCGCGAAGCTGACACAACGGCAGCTAGAGGCGGAGGTCGAGCGTGAAGCAACGCAGAAGAGGAAGCGGTTGCTACGGGCAACCAGCTCTGCGCGGCCGACGCGCGCAGACGCGAGGGTGGCGGAGGGAGAAACTCGCTGCTTCGGTGGAGGAGTGGAGAGGAGGAGAAAGTGACAGTGTTGTCCAACATACTTTTGTAACGGCCT